GATCACCAATGATGATCCTGACAATAACAAGAGGTGATCCGCTAATGTTAGCGGATCACCAATAAAAAGATCCCTGACAATAACAAGAGGTTATCCGCTAACGTTAGCGGATCACCAAAAAGATGAAGACTAGATTTGAACTCGTCACTGCGGACGAGTTTGGTGATCCGCCGTACTTTGACCCTCACGAAGCACGAGCGGTTCTGATTGAAAATTATTATATGTTAAAACATGCTCTATTTAAAGAGTAATTTTGAGCATTTTAAGGACTTACGAATGTGTACACATACGTCTTAAAGCCCGTGCGCACGGTAGTATTATAATTGTCACGGGCTTTAAGACGTGTCACAAACCCAACACATGTAACCGAAACGTAATTTCCAGCTTCAGTACGTGCTGTGGGCGTGGAAATGAGCGTACGGCGCGGAAATTTTGGAAAGTTTTGGAATATTCAAAATGACCTGAAACGTGCTTTAAATTATCTATAGATAGATAATGTTTATATAAGACAAATATTTATATAAGCACAGGTGAGTATCAATTTAGAAGAACTTTAAAAATATTAATATACGATACCAATAAAATTTTAATGGTAGGTCCTATGTGTTAAGAAGCACACATAGAAGCAGTGTTGAATACTTTAGCGCCAAAATATCAATATACGATACCAATAGAATTTCAATGGTAGGTCCACACCAAGGTCCAGACATAGAAGCAAGGAATACTTTAGCGCCCTCAACATTAACTCGGTTCGCCTAACTTTTGGGATCAGTCATTAGACTGAGGGAGATTTTCAATTGGCGGCTGGTTACACTGGAAACTATTTGTTTAAATATCACATCATTATACATTATCCTTATGAATTTTTTAAAAACTATAAATATACCTTATAATTTTTTCATTTAATTATAATTATGAGTTCTCATTAATTACAAATTAAATTGCTTTAGAGAGGTAAGTAAAGTTATCATTTTTAGAGCATGCACGTTGTCAACCGTCATGCGCAGTTAAAACAGTGAAAAGGTTTATTATACATGTGACCGAATAATCTGGATCATTTGTTCACGAGGCGTTGCTGTCAGTCATCCGACTTCGAGGTTTTGTAGTGTATTGATTATAATGTCGAAGTTTAGGAAGTTTTACGTTGTGGAAAAGTTTGAAAGAAGAAAAAGATCAAATGTGGGAAAAGCGTTTTCTGTAGGCATGGTGATCGAAGAAGGTGGTAACAGTGTGGTACCATGCTATGTTAACAATGAATTTGTAGAGTCGGAGGTCGAGTCCCGGTTGTTCAGCCTAGCAGTTGGAACAAAAGTTTTCGTGACACACGTATTTGGAGGAAGCTCTTTTCGGGTGACCGAGAAATCGAAGGTTTGCTTTTTAGATGTGTTTTTATGTATGTATTAGCGCCAAATAAAATTTTCGTTTTGGTTATTTTTACGATCAGTCGTAAAAGTAGCCCCTAATGGTATTTTGCAACAATGTGTGGCGCATGCGCGTTTGGCGTTAGAGAATGTGTACGTTTTTGAAAGAGTAATGTTAGTGAATATGTACTGTAATGTATAATTTATTTTTTATTCAACTTTAATATTGTTCATAATTTTTAGGTGATGACTAATGTGGCGGATTTTGATATCAACATGGAAGTTGTACAAGAATTTATTTCTCCAAAAGTAGTGTCGCTGGTAGAAGCACGTGGTTCACCGAAGAAACGAAGACTGTCGGTACGAGGTAGTGTTATGGAGGTAGGGGTTGTATTTATTTGATCAAATTTGATAGCGTAGACAAAACTTAACATAAATTCAGAACTATTTATAAATATGTTACAAAATATTAATAATTCAATTAAAAAAATTAGGAGCACCTTTACTCTCTTTGTGTTTCATCTACAGGGATGAAATGCAAGTTACAACAGCACACCATCTTTCAAATGACAAATTTAAACCATTGCTCCCGTACCGTATGCATTTAAACCATACCCCATGTGCAAGTTCAAGAACAAAGTACACACATTGGAATGGAACACCCAATCACCACCAAAAGGACCCCACTACAAATAAGTCTTCTTCTAAACTTCCATGGGCAATCCTTGTATTTATGGTACTGTAAAACAAAGCAAAATAAGGGTACTAATTTCACTTGGCATTCACTAGTCTACCAATAAAATCATCTGCAAGTTAAGATATAAGGCAAGTATGTCTACAAATTTAATTTTAAATTGATGTGATTAGCCTAGCCTAGACCTTGCCTAGGCCATGTTTAACCGCTTATAAAAATGCAGAAAGAAGACCCAAAACAAATTAGAATGAAGTTATCAACTAACTAGCGCATTAAAATTATTCATATACTTGCTACTTACCTATATAAAATTAAAAATGTATTGCTCACAAACGCCAATATTTGGATTTTAATACGCTTTTTCCATGAATTGGTAGACATCTTGAAGTGATGACAAACAGTCAATGGTGCGTAACAAACAAAAATAAGATAAGCTAGGCCTAGCTGCTGTATGCCTAGCCGATGCGCAGTGTGGCTAAAGAAATTTTTGTTTTTCTGAGCATGTGCAGATTGTGCTTATCTGGCTCATTTGCATAACAATACCACACATAAGGCTAATTCAAGTTAGATGGCTTAAACCAGCCAGCTTCCTATCCTGGTAACAGTTAAAAGTCCTTGATTAAATGGTGCTTAAGAAATAAAGGTATATTTTGATATTAATTTGAGATTTTTTTAGTCTCAAAATATACTCTTAAACATTAGTAATCATAAAATTTTGATAAACCAGATGACGGCCAAAATTAATAAAATGTTGATGGTGAAAGAATGGATATATAGTTGGAGATGGGTGCTTTATTTTGATTTGATTTGAAGAAATAAAGGTACATTTTAATAATAGTTTGAGATTTTGTAGTCTCAAAATTTACTCTTAAACATTAGTAATCAGTAAATTTTGATAAACATAGGAATAATAATATATCACTTTTTTTTAAAGAACTAGATGACATTGACAGTAAAAATTAGTAAAATGTTGATGGTGAAAGAATGGATATAAACTTTGATATTCGTGCTATTTTTGATTCTTGTTTGTTTACGAAAATATTGACACACTTGTGGTGTACAGAGCATTAGGAATCAAAGTAGAGGGTATTTCTCATGAATCTGACACACTGTATTGTTGTACAGGCATAGTTTAGTAAAAAGTAACTGGCATTATCATTTAATTGTCAGTCATTAAAAACCGATATTATAATATTTTATAAGAGGAAAAACAAAGTTTAAAATAATACCACTAATAAAAAATTAGATTATAAACGATTTAGACTATAGGTCTCGATGGCGGGTCGGATTTCCCCAACTGGGAGGGGGAGTGATGTCCCCGACGGTAAAAATTGGGCGTCATCAGGTGTCTCCCAAAACCTCTTGAAAGTGTTTTAAGCCCTGAAAAATAGGAAAATTTAGTGGTTTCAAAGGCTTAATTGATTCTAGTGTCTACTTATATGTAGAAATTTTTTTTTCATGAGATATTGTGGTTTTTTTTTTTTTCACCTGCCCATTGGGGGGGGGGGGGCTGTCTATTTCCACTCCACCCGCTGGTGCCACCCTTGCACAATACTATTTGTAGTAGCAGCTATAGTGGGCTTAGAATATAGGTGCTATCAGTATCCATAATTATAAATATTGGGCATAATATTAACGTAGGAATAATATACCTCTTTCTTTAAAGAACCAGATGACGGTCAAAATTAGTAAAATGTTGATGGTGAAAGAATGGATATAAAGTTTGAGATCGGTGGTTTATTTTGATTTGATTTAAAGAAATAAAGGTATATTTTAATAATAATTTGAGATTTTGTAGTCTCAGAATATACACTTGAACATTAGTAATCAGTAAATTTTGATAAATATAGGAATAATATACCCCCTTTTTTTTTTAAAGAACCAGATGACAGTCAAAATTAGTAAAATGTTCATGGTGAAAGAATGGGTATAAAGTTTGAGATTAGTGCTATGTTTTGATTCTTGGTTGTTTATGAAAATATTTACACACTTGTGGTGTACAATGTGTGGGATCTAATAGAACCTTGCTACTTAATAGGAATTGAAGTAAGGCATTTCTCATGAAATCTGACACACTGTATAGGCTGAATTAGTGACCAAAGATGTTATCCAGATTCGCCCGAGTGGGTATAAAATTTTGTTTACATCCCGGAGTCCTATGCAGTCGAAAGTGGTGTATATGAAATCGTATAAAATGTATTGAAGTTAGTATTTACATTCAGACTAAAAATATTAAGAATTTTTAGAGGCCTTCTAAGGGGCCTAGGCCAATTGCTCGTGGGACTTGCCACATCCAATGCTGACTAGGCAATCGCTGTTGATAGAGGTACATATTCAGCTTAAATACTGTCAATAAGTAATTTTTTTGCAATTTTTGCTGCGAAGCAGCCAATTCATATGTCTATTTAACATCACAATAAATTGTCTATTAACGTCACAATAATTCATTATTAGACCTATAGTTGTTACTCGAGTAACGTTTCGTATCTATTGTCGTGACGTCATGGCTCGCTGGCTCACACTTGCGATGTCTTGCACTTGTGATCAAATAATACACTGGCTTGCACTTTGGCAACACTCTTTGACAGTCAACTCGCCCTTAGAAAACCCGCCCTTGGAAACTTGCCCCATAAAAAGATGTACACTTCCTAGATCATGCAGTCTTCAAAATAAAAATTGTAATGTTTGGTAATCAACTACATTTTCCACATACATAGCAATTTTTGAAAATTTATTTAAAAAAACCTAAACCATAATTCACCACTATAGACACTTTTTGACAAAAATGAAAAATTACGACTTTGTTACCCAATGAGAAGTGTTTAATATAGACAATGTGTCGTGTCTCATATTATTTGTTATATTTTTATTATTTATTATTTTCACTTGACTCGCATAAATAATTTTGTTCGAAGAATATTTATATGCAGTTGTACTTTGCAGCACTTCACTTGTAATTTGCAATTTCTAGTTGTATGAAATATTTAAAATATTAGACATACTGAAACTTTTGAATTGTAGAATAAGATGGTTCTCTTTATAACAATGTCCAATGAGTCGGAAAAACGTTGTTTGTATGACTCTCTAGTCTAAAGCTAGGTCCGTGTTTACGCGATGAGGTTATGCAAAATTGTTAAAGTTTTCCATCTGTTTATTTCATTCCATATCAAATCTGACGGGTCAAAATTGTGACGTTTATTAAAGAAATATTTACCAAGACTCTTCGATGAGTTATTTTACAATAACATGTGCAAATAAATAAGTTTGAGAAGATTAAAAACTGTTGAATTTTACTCGAGTGGAGGCTTATTATTGTGTGAAAAAACTGCCACCTAGCAGTTTGTTTTGGTATTATACCCACTATAACACATTCGTGTTAGTCACTAATTTGGTCTATCGTTGTACAGACATAGTCATCTAATTGTCGGTCATTGAAACTGATATTGTTATGATATTTTATAACAGGAAAAACAAAGTTTAAAGTAATATCGATGAAAATCTAGACTATAGGTCCCGATGAAGGGTCCGATTTCCCCAACTCGGAGGGGGACAGTGATATTCTTGACGGAAAGATTTGGGTGTCATCAGGTGTTTCCCAAAAGCTATTCAAAGTGTTTTAAGCCCTGAAAAATATGACATTAGTTAATCGATTCTATTTTTTCGTGAGATATTGTGGGTTTTTCAGTGCTCACTGGGGGAAGGGGGGTGCTGTCTGCTTTCACCCCACCTCCTGATGTCCTGCACAATACTAGTAGTGGTAGTAGCTATAGTGGAGCAAGGACATACCATTAATAGTACCATTACTATCTATAATTATGATTTTGGGCATAATTTTAACCCATGTAGCACGTAGCAATAAAAATGTATCATAATGGATAATTTAGAATTGGTGTAAAAATGTATTTAAATTTAAGGAACACAGGATACATAGATTTTATACACATTTATTATACTGAAAACTAATTTATATTTAATTTTATGATCAATAGGTAATATTATTAGTACATGATTTGACATAGGCCTGTCACATAATTTAGTTGTAATTTTGGTTGAATGTAATTATAAAGTTTACATACTTATTGTTTTTATAAAACCGAAAGGTCCACTGATTAATCAACAATAAGAAAGTATAATACATACTCCAAGTATTGTAATACACGCCATCGTGTTGGGATTCAATATTTCGACATTAATTATGTCATCATCAGGAATGGTGATGACATAATTAATGTCGAAATGTTGAATCCCAACACGATGGCGTGTATTTCAATACATGGAGTATGTATTATACTTTCTTATTGTTTTTATTTTGTTGTAGGTTGGAAAGTTGAGTGAAGCAGATAGTTATAAAAGGCGTATGTTGAAGCTGGGTAACAATAATGATGGTTCTGTAGATATTGTGTTGTGGGGGAGGCAGCTCTCAGTGCATCAAATTTATTGTCAAATGAAGTGACAGTATCAGCTGTAATTGTTGACGACCGTGAACAACTTAGAAGTACTCCATCAACAAAGTTTGAGGTATATTTGTGTTGTACAATTTCTTGTAGTCCATTCAAAAATCACCTTAACCATGGTATAAGCTCATACTTCAATGAAATTCAAAAACCGTACAGTAGGTCCTTTATATATTGGAAAGATCATATCTTGATGTTGCGTCATATAAAAAGTGGGATTTAAGGGAAAAAAGCAACTTTTATAACCAGTTTTTAGCTGCTTGTCAGTGATTGTTTACCTTGAGAAGTGATATCTCAAGGCTAAAATAATGATACACCACTTGCATTTCTACAAAACTTGTTACTGAATGATACATTCACTAATAATTATCAACGTGACAATGCATTTTGATACTGTTTAAATATGTAAATATGATGATGTATTTTTATTCATAAAGTCTTCAAAAAAATGGAATGTTAACTATAAATACATGCGAGTTTTAAAAAATAGTGAATGTGACCTTCCATGCAAAATAAACTACGCCTTCAATTGGATCAACTTTTTAAAAATTATTTTGACAAGCGAAGCGACGGTGGTGTAAGCGGGGTGAAGGAAAGTTTGAACGATTGTATTGGAGTACCGTATTTAGCTTATTACTTGATCTTTAAATTTTATTTAAAATTCAAAATAAAATAAGCATAGCTATGCAAAATTATGTCAATGGATGTTCATTACCTGAAGTCAAATAACAAATTTCTGGTTTTTGGGGGGTTTTTTTTCTAATTAATTGAACAATGAGTAAATTCCTTGGGAAATAAAAAAGAATTGTAGGTTAAATATTTCAGTATTAATGTTTTTTTAAAAATTGTAATTAATAAATGTGAGTTATTTAGCAATAAAAATAATTACAGTTTGTTTATGTCTATGGTATATAATTGGAATAGATGTTTTTGACTAGTAGAGTAGGTTAATTGTTTTGTATCATTGTTTGCATTTAATTAATTTTTTTCTATTGCAGTTTGGTGGTTTGAATTCTATTGAAGGTGTTGTGGTGGCCCTCGGGGATGAGAGTGATGGGTATGTAGTTCTTTGCAATGTTGACCTTTTTAATGTAAACCAATGGTAGAGTGAAGGTAGGGGTGAGGAAAGTTTTTGTGTGATTGTATTTGTTTTTTTGTTTTTTTTTTAATGTTATAGATGTTTTTTGGTTTATTTATTAGTAATGTTAATGTAATATTTCTTAAATTTTCAGATATCCTGTGGATATGATATTGGAATCTGATGAGGTATTTAAGCTTCCTGAAAACTTGGAATTTGATTTATCGATTGCATTGCCATGTGGAATAAAGTTTTCTGCGGACAGTTTTGGTGTAGTAACAGAAATTGAAATTTTGTAAATGGTGAAGTTTTAGAAAAAGAGAAATAATGTAGTTTTAGACTTGTTTTTTAAGGGTTTTAACGTTGGCTGAATATTTTAGTTTTGACATGCATTTTATGTCGGTTTATGAATTTAAAAGTATGAGAAATAAAGCTTTTTGCAGACAGTTTTGGTGTAGAAATAGAAATCAAAACTTTTTAAATTGTGAAGTTTTAAAAAGAGAGAAATCATGTAGTTTTAGAGTTCATTTAAAGGTTTTAACGCTGGAAGATTGTTTTTAGTTTTAGTACGTATTTTATGTCAGTTTTGCAAATGTGGAGAGTGAAATTAGTTTTATTGTAGTCAGTTGTGTAATAAAAGAAATCAAAACTTTGTAAATTGTGAAGTTTCAAAAAGTCAGAAATATGAATATTTTAGTTTTGACATGCATTTTATGTCAGTAGTTTTGTGAATTTAAAAGTATGTGAAATAAAGTTTTTGCACAGTTTTGGTGTAGTAATAGAAATCAAAACTTTTTAAATTGTGAAGTTTTAAAAAAGAGAAATAATGTAGTTTTTGCACTGTTATTTAAAGATTTTAGCCTTGGAAGATTTTTTTAGTTTTGACATGCATTTTATGACAGTAGTTTTTTCAAATGTGTAATATATGAAAGTATGTGAAATTAGTCTTTTGCAGTTTTTTTTTTTTTGTAATTTGTGAAGATTTAAAATGTGGGAAATAATGTAGTTTTAGACTTGTGACATGCATTTTTGTCAGCAGTTTGGAGAATGTAGCATTTTCTATGAAAGTTTGTGAAGTAAAGCAGACAGTTTTGGTGTAGTAAAGAAATTGTGAATAAATACTGTATGTTTGAAAATATGAAAATTGTTGTCTAAATTGAAGTATTGTAGTGTCATATGTAAAATACAGTATGTTTATTTTTCCTGTAGTTTTTGAAATATATTAGATTGCTAGCTGTTTGTTATGGATGTATGTATATGTTTGAACTGTGTAAAAGTGCAGCAGAAATGATCAGTACAGGAGTGCAGAGTTATGTATTATAATGTGAAGCAAGACTTTTTTTCACAAGTATAAAATTGAGGAAGCTGATGTGCATATTGACAGCAATTTTTGTTTGGTTACCATTCCAGAAAGGAGGGTGGATATGTAGTTAAAAAAACGTCTCGTTAAAGGTAATCAAAAAAATGATGCGATTCAAGTTTTGCAAAACGTGGATTGATGTGCCATCTGCTTTTCTGAATATAGTAATAATATGGTGTAGCGCACATATCCATCAAACACAAGATGTTCAGGGCATTTGATATGTTGACTAGGTATTCGATCAGTGACTTTCTTCGCTCTTAAGAGTGCCTTTGTGCTGTGTTACCCAGGGTTTAATATAGTCTATAGGCAAAGCCTATTATACCACATTGCCAATGCCTATAAAACCAATTTGATCAGAAGACGATTTTGTAGCGTAGTATAATAGACATGAAGATGCTTCTTGAAAGACGGAACTGATGTGATTTTCACTATATGTAGTAGTGGTACCGTAAATGCTCGAATAAGCGCCGCTCTCGAATAACCGCCGTTCTTGAATAAGCGCCGTCTGAGAGTGCCATTTCCGACCAACTGGGTGCCATAATCATACATTTTCTTACCTCAGCTTCAACCATGTGGGGCTGAGGTGGTAGTCCAGCTACACTCTCCATCTGTAAAAGTCCCTCTCTGGGCCCTGCTCTATTTCAAATTACTGCATCCGCCACTGGATATTTTAAAAATTTCGTATGGAAATAAATGTTAATTGCATTGCTTAAAATCAATTAAAAGGCTATATGCGCCAGAGGGGATCCCCGCCCCACCCCGCAGAATTTCTGGAAAAGTAAAGTAAATGATGCACACACAGTTATTGTCTTTTTCATTAATTATCGTCGAATTTTGGTTTTGGTTAAAAACATAATTTATGTTTCAAATAATGACATTGATTCTGAAATTGTGTATACTTTCTGGAACTTGACCATGATTGGAGTGTAGATATGAGGCTGAAGTGTCCGATTGTTTTCAACCTGAAACGACTACACGTGTATTATGTCTCAGTTTTCAACCAAGGTCTTCTTTTATACTACAATTGTGAAGGCCGTTTAAGCAGTATGCAGACAATTAGCAATCACCAACCCACCAGTGACCGTTTCTTCTAAGGGGAAGAATTTCGCCATGATGACCACGGACGTGTTCATTCTTCTTGCGCCAATACAAAGAGATTTTTATAATCTGTTATCGCGACTAGTCATAATTGTTTCATGAGGGAACGAAATGAGCACCCTCTCACTCTTGTTAGCTATATGGCGTATCATATTTTTGTGGTTTTCTTTTCGCGCTCCGATAAGACACAGCAAATTATTTTTCTTGGAGAGAGAAGCGTTCGAGAATTCCGTAGTGTAATTGAGTCATTTGAGAAAGTTAAAACGGTTGTTCTATGAGTATTGAGCAGTTCAGTCGGTAAGTTAAATATCATTGTATTAAACTTCATTGTAAAACAGATCATACGTTATCGTGGAACATCAATAATAATAGAAGATCGTGAAAAAACCGAGACTGATATATAGTCGCTATTTCTCATGTTAGAAATTACGAATTAACCACAGAATTATAGTTATGTTTAGAATTGTAGCATAGTATTAGGTATATGATGATGAATCATTTTGCAAGCGATGCCAATTTTTATTGTGTATGAATTGAAACGTTAATGATTATTAGTAATTATTGGAACTATTTTTGATTGCGTATTGATTTACTTTAATTTGTGGTATTGTATTTTAAGAGTCTAGCGCATTTTTATATGGCGTAGTGATATTTGCAGTGTTATGAGGTTTATTGAGACCCCGCTTTTAGATAAAAAAAAAAATAATAAGAACGCTCGGCATACGTTAGGTCTATTCGCTACTATATGACAGGGCTTTTAAGTTTGTGTGAGTTACAGTTTATTGTAATCAAGTTGATCCCTGAAAATGTTTTATCTCTAGTAGTAACTTTTGACCAGAGTAACCATGGTTATACCATGTAATACAATAGAGTGACTGTATTGCTGTGATGAGCATCGAATTATTTCGGGTTTTCGTTATGAAGTCTACGAGAGAAATAATTATGTTAATTTGCTTTTTAAGTATTTCCTATCGATATAACTGGTGTAATTCAAATAGACATTATCATATCATTATTACTTCTTAATATTTAAGAGAAACGCTTTTATGTTATATTTTATATTTGATAATAGTTTTATTTGCCATTAGATTAATTGATATTTCAACGTTCAGGCTGTCATCTGAGTAGAGTTAACGAGTTGAGTTGAGCTGTAATTTGAATCTTGGATGTCGAAAAGTGTGTTTAAGTACTGATATATGAGCTAGTTAAAAGTTGTGAATTGGTAAAAATCTGATTATTGTGTTAAGTATGAGATCCTGAGATACGTAGATTTATTTATTTTTTTTGTATTTTGTATTCGATAGGTTCGAACGACTTGTTGGGATACAATAAACTTTCAGATCAAACATAACAGCTTTTGAGTTTAAGTTTATATCAGCTTGATAGATATATAGTGTGTATTTGTTATTTTGAGGAATTGAATATTTTAAATAGCGCCCTCTGAAAATTTCGCACATTTAAATACAAAAGAAGATACTTTGACCAAGGAGGTTATTGCTTTGACGATACCACTTTTTTTTAATGCTGTGGCGTAGACATTGATCACCGGACTGTTTTGGCTTGTTATGAAAACTGAGTATTATCAAGTTTTTCGCGGAATTTTGATTGTATTGTATCCAATTGTGAGTTAAAATTTTAGCTAAGATGACTTTAGTACAGCATGGATGGGCAAATTTAAACTGGTACCTTCAGGGCTAAGTCTAGGCTATAGTACTTCAGTAGCTGCTAGCATACAAC